CTGGGGACACCCCCGAGATGTCCTGGGGGGGGACAGGACAGGAGCGTGGCCACAGCACTCTGTGCTCCTCACCCCGCTTACCCGGCCTGGGGTTTTCCTCCTCTTCTTTCTCCTCTTCTTCCTCCTCTTCCTCCTCTTCTCCTCCTCCTCTTCCTCTGTCCCAGCAGAGGAGTCATGTAATGCCAACACGTGCCATGACCCCAGGTACCATTGACCATCACCAGGTCCCTCCAACCATCACTGGATACCATGGACCATCACCAGGTCCCTCCAACCATCACTGGATACCACGGACCATCACCAGGTCCCTCCAACCATCACCAGGTCCCTCCAACCATCATCAGGTACCACTGACCATCACCAGGTCCCCCCGACATCACCCGGGTCCCCCCAACCATCACCAGGTCCCACCGACCATCACCAGGTCCCACCGACCATCACCAGGTCCCACCGACCATCACCAGGTCCCACCGACCATCACCAGGTCCCACCGACCATCACCAGGTCCCACCGACCATCACCAGGTCCCACCGACCATCACCAGGTCCCACCGACCATCACCAGGTCCCACCGACCATCACCAGGTCCCACCGACCATCACCAGGTCCCCCCATCCCCCCAACCATCACCAGGTCCCCCAGACATCACCAGGTACCACTGACCATCACCAGGTCCCCCCAACCATCACCAGGTCCCTCCAACCATCACCAGGTCCCACCGACCATCACCAGGTCCCCCAGACATGACCAGGTGCCACTGGCCACCACTGGACATCACCAGAGACCATCACCAGACACCCCAGCCACCACTGGGTGCCCCTGCCCACCACCAGGTACCACCAGACCTCACCAGGTACCCCCAACCATCGCTGGGTACAAGCGGGGGTCACCAGGCACCCCTGCACTCACCAGCACTGGTGGCACCACCAGGTCACAGCACGACTGGGCAGGGGTGGGGGTGACCTTGGGGCAGCTCCCTGGGGAAGGACCCTTCAGGGTCTTGCTCTGCAGGCCCCAAACCTGCCCTCAAACCCATGGGCTGCCCATCCCAGCTCCTGTTCCTCCAGGGACCCAACCCTCACCTCTGGGGCTTTTCCCACATTCCCAGTTCAGGGCACTCAAACTGGGCTGAAGGCCCATCCCGATGGGATTTGGGCTGGAAATCACCCACCTGCAGCAGCTCAGCCCCTCATCCTCCCTGCAGCTTCACCCCTTCTCCTCCAGAGCAGACAAACCAGTGAAAACACCCCAAAATGGCCTTTTTTTGACACTAAAACCAGGAGCAAAACCCACCCCAACCCTTCCCTGCTCCCAAACCATCCCAAGATTTTGGTGCTTCGAGGAAAACAGCCCCTTTCCTTCCACCAAACCTTTTATTTCACCCCCTGCCAAGAAGAAACCATCAAATGCCACAAGTTTTCCCCACCCCAAAACCCACTCACACCCACCAACCAAACCCTGGGAGAACCCCCCCCAGGGAGGACAACTTAAATAAACTCACTTTAACCCCAAAATCCAAAGAAAAGGGGGGGG